TCATTACAAATAAAAAATGTAAAATAAAATTCTTTATGTGACGGACGACACGTTCCATAGGCGTTTCTTTCATTTATTTTTGTAATTATCTATATATACATACATACATAGTAGTTTATAGCCTTTTATATAGAAATCTTAAATGAGCAAAACGTTATGACGTCATAATAAACTTTCATTTTTATGTTTTTGCTGATTACTATACTTTAAAAACACAAATAAGATGAAAAAGACTATTGTTTATTTATTTCAGTATTAAAGCCCAAATGTTTTCTTATAATAAAGGTTAATTTAATTTTAGTCGAATTATTGATTAAAAATTAAAATAAAAGAAGCATATTCAATTCAAAAGGTAATAATTTTGTAGTTAAACCGTAGATCAATTCACTTTATCTCACTCAAATAGCAACAGTATTAGTTGTATCGACAAAAGTCTTCCATCAAGAATATTTCGTTATTCATAAGTTGCACCTCAGTATCACAAATAGGTATATATGTAATTATAATTAGTTTTATATGTCAATTTCATCTATCCCCATTTCTATGCATTTAGTTTCCATTACTCATAATATTAAAAAATATTCTTAATTCAAGAGCTTCTATAAACAAATTTCTAGTAAAAAAAGAAAAAATTTAAATTTTCTATAACAGGCAATTTTTATTCTCCATTTAAAATGCTGTTCTTTATTAAAAATACTATTATATACCCAAATTCATATCTTCCCATATACATAAAGAAAATATTGTACATAAAGAAAATATTAACGTTAATTTTTACATAATAACAATATCAGTTTTTCTTAATTATTATAATACTTTGTTATAAATGGTTATTGTTATTTTATTATAGCGGTAAGCATTCATAGCACTGTTCTATGACCGTATACATAAATACATAGATATTCAATGTTTCGTAAATACTAATTTGTCTCAATTATAAAGGTATACTTGTATATTTTATTTTTGTATTATGAAAAGCTCATAAGGGTTATTTAGGACATCAAAATTCTTAATATAATTTTTTACAATAATACAAAATAAAATGAATTCATTAATTTTCTATTTGTTTTTCATTGTATTCTCTTAATTTTAGGACAGATTGACTTAATTGAGGACTAAATGGAAAATAAAAAATTAATTCTAATTTTACATATTTTTTTGTTTTTTCCTTTGTTACATACATATTTATAATAGAAATTAATAAGTTTCGGATAATCTTGGTTGTTTTGAATTAATTTTTATATTACATACAACAATGCTCATTAGAATTTATTTTGTTTGAATTCTCTATAATTTTTATATTAAATAAGCAGACAACCGATTTAATATTGTGTCATTTATGTACTTCTATGTCAAATTTTGAGAAAACTACATATTAATATTTTTGTTGATTTGGCAGCACAAATATAAATTCAAAATTTACTGAACCTTCACTTTCTGGATTTACAATTTTTCTAAAAATTTTGTAAAATAGTTGAACTTATCACGTACAGACGTAGTCGCCTCAAAGTGTACATACACATTTAGTTTGAATTCTTTAGATATCATTCAAAAATGTAAAACTGATTCGTAAAATAATTAAAACTGCTGATAAATCTATTATTCTTAAAATACCTAAGAATGCACATCTACAATGTATGGTTTTGTTTAAATCAATTTATACGATAATTATTTGGCACAAACAGACTGATACACCAGTATGTTAATTAAAATATTTTATCCACGTTTTCCTTACATTAGAAATGCATTTACGACTGGTGAAATTAGATATAATCACATACTTAATACCTCTCTTATCGTATATTAAATACGGCCAGTTAAAATAATTAACATAAAACCTATAATAAAATTTATTGGAAATTTTGAAGTTACTCTTGCAGTTGTAAGAGAGGACAATAATATTTTCTTATGAAAATTAATTTATTAATTCATTTTTTTCAAATCATGTGCAACTATTCTGAGTTAGTCAACGCTAAATTTATTACGATGCTTGTTTCTATATCATATGATTTTTCACATCTGAAATTGTAAATTAAAAGTTTTATCCAAAATTTCATTCAAATATAATCGCATTTTATAAAATTAAAAATCATTCAATTAGTTATAACTGAAAATTTCGTGAACATCTTGTAGAGTCTACAATTTTCAATAGTTATCATACGAACTATGGTCTTTAAATTTGCAACATAGTGAGAATTTGCTCCTGATTTGAATTCATTCCAATAAGTCATTTTAGATTTTTCAAATTATATTTACCCTGAAGATATTTAGCCTCCGTAGCAGGGTTAATTTTTATAACCCGCAATATTTTTAAAATTAATAATTCCCAGATATTCACATACATAATTTATTTAGTTTAATCCCCGTTCGGTTATCTGCATTTGCTATTACCCGTAATTTGCTAACAAAAATTTTATGGTTAAAAATAATAATCTCATGTTGATGAAGAATTTGTTCAAATTTTTATAGAATAAAAATTTCTTTTTTTTTTTAAATTTTATAAAAAAATTTTGTACATATTGAAATCTAATAAAAATAAAAATGATTCAAAATCGTCACAATTAAATCGGTATCCTTTTTTTCACCTCTTATATCCTTCTAACAACACGATAATTCAATTATAATGATTTTGAAATTTTAAATGGCTTTCATTTTTTTTTGTATTTGTTTCCTTTATAGATTTATTTTTAAATTTATTATATATGTACATACATACATAATATTTTGTATATACAACATTATGTATATATTTGAAATGAGAGAGCAGTAAAATCGAAATAAATTAAAATAAAAGCATTTTTGGTCGTATAATTTTAAAGCAACAACAGCATTTTGTTGTGATTAATTGAAAGGATTTGGTTTCATTTTTCAAAGACAAAACAAAAACAATTCGATGACAATACAGAAAAATTAAAATGGTAAATAGCAAAAATAAACTAGCCTATATACACAGCCATACATACGTGCACACAAAGGAGAATAAATGAAATTTGAATATTAATTTGGTAATGAAATTCAAGTAACGTATTTCAGTTGGTATAACCAATATTTATTAAACTGCAAAATTAAAGGATATTTTAAACCATTTTCTAAATAATACTTTGGTTTTTGTTGAATAACAAATTGAAGCTATAATTAAATTGATTGGCATTGAATAATAAATATTTTGTTTTTTGGTGAAATATTTTTAAAAAGAAATCTCAGTTGAAGAGAAAATGCGAACAAAAATGAATATTTATAAACTGACAAAAATTAGAAATTCTGATTTAAAAATTCGAGTACTTATACTTGGACGTAAAAAAATTTTAAAGTTAATTTTTACTTAAGTCCTTAAACTTTCATATTTTGTTGGAAGTCAGTTTAATGCTGGTAATTACGAACACGTGGTGATATTAATCTTGAAAAACTACGTTATATAGAATCGGAGACACACTTTCCCAATTCCTATGACTTAATTTTTTAATATGTTTAGATTTAATTATTTTTTGCTATAAATATTAGATTTCATCTTAAACTACATGAATTAATTTTGTTTCGGTTTTCACATTCATTATGATTACCCAGGGTACTATATTATATAGATCACAAAATGCTCTCTCCATTCAACAAATAAATAATTTGAATGTCTGCAATATAAAATTACTGAAAAACTTTTAGAATATATTTGAAATATTAATATAGCAGTTTACTGTATGCTTTGCATGTTTTCCAATATTTTGTAATATAAAACCTAGATAACATCCTTGTATTTTGCATCTGCATGAATTTTTAATCTCTCGAATAAAAACTAATATATTTTCCTATATGAAAAACGTCTGCTATACTTTAAGAATCTTATTTTTTTGCATTTTCATTTCAGCAAAAAGAAAAAAAAACATTCATTTAAATAAGAAAAAAAAATCATTCGTATTGTTTGGAATTCATAATTATAAAGAAATTTCAATTTAATTAAATTCGAAAAGAATTTTTCCTTTTTCATTTATAATAAAATATTTGCACAACAAAGGATATACGTGTATATAGTAGATACTTTGTGTATTCCAACAATTAAATTCTTATATTTTATTGCTCTACTCTATATAGAATATTTAAATTTTAAAGTTGAGAAAGGTGCAATTTAATTAATTTTATGTACATATCCATGCATACAATATTATGACGAAGTTATGTAGGAGACGTGCTCTTTGTGATTTCAATCATATTATTTCTCAGAATTTATAATTTATGTTTTGTTGAAAATAATAAAAGTTATGTTTTTGTGAAGCCCTATGCGTGTAAGGTGAACGAAATTATTGTGCATAAGATTTTTTTTAAGGTCCAAATTGTGATTATATTTACAGACATGATAATGACAATGTTTAGTTTACGTAACTTTGGTACCATGAATATTATTTCTTATAATACACGGCTTTTTAATATTAATTCAATTTTATTCATATTTCTTCAAATTAAGTTGAAATCTAATATACAATACAATTAATGTGCTTAATTTTCAAGGACTTATTAAGTTGTTCTTCAATAAGGTTGTCCAAATATGTTTTTGAATTTAAAACATAGAACAAATTAAATGATTAATAAAATAAGTAAATTTGAGCTCCTATTTGACACATATATCATTTGAAATTAATTTTGTAATCGAAAATAATGTTTGCCTCAATAGTAGGAACCAACGATCACTAAAATCATTGAATTGCTAACAATTAGACTCAACAACCTGATACAAAATAAGCTCTTAATAAAAAAGCTTCTTGGTGTTGAGAACCCAGTGCGACATTAATTTCGCAAGAATCTGTAACACGGTTCATATCCCTTAGTTCCTGCTACAAACAAAAAAATTAAATTAGGCTTAGCATTGACCTACAGCTCTTACTATTGACGATACAATAGTACCTTATGAAAAAATAAAAGAAATAAAAAATTTTAAATTTTTCAATTTTTAATAATTTTAAAAATGAAATAAAAGATTTTAATTAATATATTATTATTCTCTTTCATTTCAGATGGCATGACGGATGCTGCGGAGTGTTTAAATTTAGCAAATGGAACGTTTTAAAAATATTATGTGATATTTAAAAATGTATGTGATCTAATAAGGTGCATATGTAAAAAAAAATCTATAAGTTTAATGTAAAATTCAAAATATTTATTAGCTTATTGTTAAAATTAGAAATTTTATTTTATATAATTTTTTTTTTTATTTATTATTTCATTTCAGTTTATTATCAGTATAGTTTAATTTTCTCTAAGTTTTCATAGTTTTTTTTTTAATGAAAAAATTAATTAATTAATTTTATTCAAAATTTTTCAATATAAAAAGAGCATAATTTTAAAAGAAATTTTGTATATGTTGAAAATATTAGAAATATAGAAAAGAAAAATAGTTAGTTAAATTAATATTTAAAAAGACAGAAATTGCACGATCTATAACGTTCCTGGAACCCATCGTCGCCATGTCACGTTGGGGCCAGGAATGTACGTAATATTTCCAGCAGATGAATTATTATATATGACATACGGTATCGCAGTACCTCGTTTTAAGCCAAGACCGACACTGGACCAACTGCGTGGACCACTAATACCAACAGGTGAAACTGAATCCTCCCCATCACCACAACCATCACCATTACCGTCTTTACCACCACTACCACCAAATCAACAACCAAGAACAAGTAACTCACAAAAAAAATTTTCAAATAGATTACAACCTTATCAAGAATATCAAGAAGAGCAATTATTTTTACAACAGCAACAACAACAACTATCTGATCAAACTGTATCCTTATCTCGTCGTCCTTCTCGTAATTCCAATAAATCACAAAAGCAAATACAATTTAGCGAATCTCTTGATCAAAGGCAATATCCTACATTAGAAGCAAATCATATAAACGTGGCTGAACAAAATCGTTATTACGAACAGAACCCATACGGAGAAGATTATGATCGGATGACTGACTATCAAGAAGAAGAATATATGCGTGAGCGTAGTCCTAGTATTTTCCTAGAACCTCCTACCCCTAGTCCCAATTTAAATAGACAACAAGAACCAATATACCCTTCTACTAAATCAGCACCATCGACACCTAAATCAACATCAAAAGCTTCAAAGCTACGACCAAAACTAAACATATCACTAGGTCGATTAGGTCGTCAACAACCTGAGCAAGTAGAGTCAGCGCGCTTAAAAGAAGACTTAAAACTTCACGTTGAAAATCCAGTATTTAACCGTGAGAATTTACGTCAACGTAATTTCGATGCATTCTTTGAATCAGGTGAACCAGTTTACTCTTTACAAAAGCATATACGTTCACCAACATCAACACCAGATGAACTATACACAACGAGCAATAGTAATAATATAAGTCGAGGTAATATAGGTTATAGTGGTCGTGCTCGTGGTGGTGGTGATAGTGTTGATTATTATAGTAGTGGGCAAAGCAGTGATTATGAATATAGAAATTATAACAATGTATCAAGTAATTATTTGGACGCCATCAGCGGCGGTGAGGTGGCGGCAACAACAATCGCACAAAAGACAGGCGGATCGGGTTTATTTAGCCGGTCGGCAAAAAATTCACCGTTAAGTAGTCGTTCGCGTAGCGTTGAACCGTTTAACGAACCGCCTGCTATGTATAGGCCTGCTGAAGTGCCCCAGAAAGGTGACAGGTGCCACAAAAAATCAACTAAGAGTTTTTTCTTTTTGTTTCGTAATTTGTATATTTTGCCTTAACCAATATATTTGTAATTTTACTTATTCGGGTAACACAATCACTGTAACCAAAATTTAAAAATATGTAAAATTACAAAGGAAAATTAATTTCAGAAGCAAATAAACAAAAACTTTAAATTTTTAAGGTTTTGAGTGACACTGTTCTTTTTGAATTATGACTGTTTGAAATTTTTTTGGTTATGGCACAATTTAACAATAACATTAACAGATTTGCAGTTCATTTTGGAAACTACTAACTAAATTTGTTACCATTAACTTTCCCATACTAGTTGCACTATCGTCGCTGATGGCATAACTTCATAAAAATTTACCACATTTATTATTCGAACTATAGTCTCTCCCCTTTTAATGATATCAAAAAAAATTTAATCTTAACCGAAAATCTAGAGAATAAGAAGTTATTGGTGAGGCTAGAGCATATACAAAAAGCTTAATGGCAAAATATAGGTACGATTGTATAACTTATCCCCTGGCTTGTGCAGATTTGCTGACATGCAATTAAGACTTTTCTAGTTTAGCTTGCATTTCTGCAAATTTTCAATACAATAATTATTTTTATTTTTATTTTTGTACTCGTATTACTAATTTTCTTTTCAAAAAAAAAAACGTTCTTTACGTTAAAATTTTATCAATTGCCTTTAAACTTAATTCAATTTCAAAACAACCTTATAAATTTTTAAAAATATGCTATTAGCGTTTCTCTGAAATTGCATTTTATAAATCTTTAATAAATAAATCCAGACTTCTTGTGTGTTGTTTTTCTTTGTTTTAAATTAAATTTAGAAGTTATTAAAGGAGTGCGTATTATATTGCTTTAAAAAGGTTGAAAAACAGACCCTTAAATCTCTGCAATTAAAATCACTCTCTGTATTACTCCCTACCTTAATGACTAGGTTTTAGTTAATAATACGAATATCAAAATCTTCTTTAATTAAATTTTAATTTTAATTAAAAAGTATTTTGAATTGTAATATTAATTAAAAAAAAATTAATTAGGTAATTTTTTCGAAAGGAATCCTCCATTTTTTAATTAATAGAAGAAAAAATTATCAATCTTTCTTTGGAAATTTTGTTGTGAAGCGAAATATTGTAGTCAGAGCACAATTTATTTTAACTAACACAAATTATTTCGCACGAATATGTATTTAATTAAGTACTAAGGTATTTCACACCTTTGGCCCATTTATCCTAGTATATCCTACATATCATCCAACTCCACGAAGCTAGGGTATAGATGGTCCAAACTACCTTATTATTCAGATTATAAATTACTATACCTTATCTTTCTAAGAATAAATTAAAATTGATCAAATTAATTTTACCTTTTCTATTTTTATTTATCACAAATTTTAATTAACCCCAATATAAAAGTTAACAAAGATGATGCTGTTTAATTATCTAGTTTAGAAACATGATGTCAATTTCCTTAATTAAAACCGATTTATTTTAATCCTTTCCATTTTCATTGGTATTTAAATTCTCTAATTTAATGTCTAAAAATATCGTCATAATTAATTTTTCATTTTTCATTTTTGTTTTTTGTTATTTTTCCTCTGATTTTTATAAAAAATTTGCCTACCTTCCTGCCTATACCATTTTTGTAGCGTCTATATTTTTCATGCTGATTTAAATAATTTTTCTTCCTTTCTATTCTCTGATACCTGAACATTTTAATATACTGAAGATACTATAAATCTGCCAGTACAAAGCCTTAATAATTACTGAAAAAAATTAAAGTTTTTTTTTTATATATAAAACCAAAAAGAAAACAAAGAAATCATTTATGTAGACACACACAAGAATACAATATAAAAACGAAAAGATGAAAAAAAAAACAAAGCTCAATGAAGATATTTTTTTTAAGTTTGACCTACAAAATGTAAAAGGCAAGCAATTCTTCCACCAACCATACCAACCAACCATCAAACAACAAAACATTCAATCATTCCCTAAGAGACTATGAATGAAAGTGATACCGTTGTGGTTTGAAAAAGAAAAACACAAAATAAACGGTAGGGTATTAAAATGTGAAAAATAAATAAAGTACTTCATTACGTAACTTTCCCGATTATTAAATGCTTACTTACATTGCCCTATAAGTAATAAGTATTTAAGTGAAGAAAGCCCTAGATTTTTGTTCAATAATGTTTTTTTTTGGTTATTTTTTCGAAATTTCGTCATTTTCGAACACTTTTAACAATATTGTTTAGTATAATCTCCTGAACTGACATATAAAATTTCAATTTAATTGCACTCACATAACCTCCCCCATTGTATGCAATGCGGTCGTTAAAATATAGCTTGTTATACTACTCAAATAAAATTTTCCTTCAAAATTAAACTGGTATGCAATTGGTATGCACCTTGCATCTTTCGCAGCTTCTTTTATCTTCTTTTGAACGAACAAATGAATTGTTTGAAAGGCACATATTATTATAAAGGGAAGATAAAATATTGTGTACTATATCACAGAATCACATAATCACAAACAATGAAATTTTTACTCGAACTTTCTGCATCAAATCAAGACATTATTTGACTAATTTGTGAAAATCCTAGTTGTAACCAACTTGTATTTTACATTGCAAAGCATATTATAGCTCTTGATTAAACTTTTTAGTGGTATAGTAAAATCTTGAGAAATTTACTTCCAATCGGGAAATAAAAAAGTGATGGTTTATAAAACAAAAGAAAAATTAGTTTTTCATATCTGTTTTTTTTTTTTATAACTAAACAGTAATTTATAGTACATATAAGAATATACGGTAGAGTAGGGGCCAAGAGAGATAAAAATGTACTTTTTGCACCTTAAGTGGTTAATGGATCTTGTTTTTTTACCATCGTATCTTCTCCTAATAAACCAATATACAAACAAAAATTTTAAAGGAAATAAGAGCTCGTAACTTTTATACATACATATACACTGATAAAATAATGGCAAGGTACCCGACAGAGTTAGTAATTACAAATGGTGTTTTTTTTTTAAATACAGTTTTCCTTTTAAAACTAAACAGTAAAGGTATATACACGTTTTTAATATTCTGAAGCATAAAGCAAACAGAAAAAAAAATAACAATTCTTAGATTCTCTACCATTATTTGTAAGGAAAATGTGTTAATTTTGATGGAAGCTCCTTTTTATACTGAAAAAAAAATTTCATCTTTATGGAAATGTGTATACATAATGCATTTATAAATGTATATGTATATGGAATATGTTAAGGATAATAACGGTAAATAATGAAAGGTTATAATGTTTTTATTTTCATTTTTTTTCTTTTTTACGTTCGAGAATTCTCTTCTTTCTCTTTTGATAATATATTTTAATTGATGGTTATATTATATACCGTGGGTTGAATTTTTCTTTTCTCTTTATATTATTGTATCAGAATACTCGTGTTCGAAGGACTGAGCAAGTAACACATCTATTATACTGATTTAATATTGTACAATTTTTATGAGTTCTTCATTTATGCTTTCTATAATCCAGAAAATTATCAGTTTTTCGATATTATAGTTACGTCATTGTGTAAGGGTATTTTATGATATTGAAAAATACATACATTATTAAGTTAATGGAAATGAAATGGTAAAATTATTATAATGACTGGCATTACAACAATATATGCATAATATTAAAGTCGCTGTTGTTATTAAAAAAAAGGTATGAAGTGTCGATTTATATACCTACGTGTAAAGAATTTAAAATTATAAATAACTAAAATATGAACACTATTTTTAACCTTTTAGTTAAAGGTTATAAAAAATTTTTATTCATTACCTTTTTTCCCAAAAAAAAAGAAAAAGAATTTGAAAAAAGTACTTATTAGACTCTTTCCATCCGACCGTCTATCCGGCGTCTGTCTACAGAACTTTCACTTCCTAGAACTACAAATTTATTTTTGTAGAACAAAATTTTTGACTATTTTTTACGACCACAAAATAGCAAAAATACCATATTTATACTACGCATTGTATATTCTTACACAGAAGCGTTTTTTTAATTTAACATACGGAGAAAAATAGGTAGCGCATTCCTCTACCGCCACATAAGCGTAATAGTTTTTCAAAAACTCACAGCCTCTCCTAAATATCGATTTTTCGACGCCTTATGTTTCAGAAACTGTAAGCTTTTCCAAACTTCTATAAAAGCAAAAAACTAACAGAAAATTTCATACTATCAAAAAATATGTTTCAATACTGTGTTAATTTTTTTTTTTGTTCATCCTAAATGTATGCAATAATGTTACACACATTATGGTATACGATTGAGAGTAATTTAAACAGTGACGTAGATTGTTTTTAAAAGTAGTATTTCCACTTTTTCAACAGAAAAGTGCCATTTTATTAGATTAATTATTAAATATTAATCAATTACAATATCTGTGTAGGTGACGGTTTACATAATTTCCACATTAATCAAGTTCAAAATTAATTTTGTTATCAAATAAGTTGTAGATAGAAATTATGTCTGTTAAATCCTAAAAAAGAGATTACAAATTTTTTTTTGATTTCTTAATTCCAAGCACTAATTAGAACACTTTTCAGTTTAAAACAAAAGTTTTTAGCTACCTAAATTTTGTATGTGGGGAAGTATACTATTTAACAAACTCTATATTGATTTAATTCGTAATTATTCTAATTGTATAATTATTTATTCATTGTTGTTATAGCTTTTATACCAACAATAATTAAGTCTATTTTCCAATCATTTTACTAACATTAATTTAGCATATTAAATTAAAATTTTTATCCAATTCTTCATCTTATGTTTAATATCTAAAAGTCAGATACACGTTACAAATATTGACAAAATCGAGTTGAATTGAAAATGATGAAAATTTTCCCGTCGGACACGCTATAAAAATTTTAAAATTGAAAATCTATGAAAATATTATGATTGTTACCGTATGTAGATTTGAACAAAAAT